TTGACATAGGGTCTCACTATGCAGTTCAGGCTGGCTTGAACTCACTTATGTACCCCAGGATGGCCTTGAACTCACAACAATCCTCCTACCTCAGCCTACCAAGTGCTGAAATTACAGGCCTGCACCACCACGCCCAGCTAATTTCTTTCTCTTAAAAGCCCTTTAAACAGGGACACCATCTCTTGTTAACCTCTACCATAAGTCAGTTCCAAACTCTACTAAGAGCTGAGAAGGCTAAGATACCTCTCCCACCCTTCACAGCCTATGAGCAGAGGTAACTACAATCTGGTACAGGAAATCCAAAGACAAAGATGCACAGAAGTCTGGACATGGAAACACATGCCTGTAATCCCAGCACTTGGGAGGCTGAGGCAGGAAGATCATCATGAATTTAAGGCCACCCTGGGCTACACAGTGTGTTCAAGCTCAGCCTGGACTATGCAGAGTAGTGACAGCAAAGCTTTTAGAGCTTTCAGTGATAACAAACAGCCACACGTGTGCCATAGGTGCGCCAACACTGATATAGGGGGACTCTGTCTTCAAAAAAAAAAGCACACTAGAAGCATGTTACTGGAGTGTAGGCAGTAGGGGTTAGAGAAGGCATCCTGGAGAAAAGGTACAATATAAACACCGAGTAGTGAGCAGGGCATGGTGGCGCACACCTGTAATCCTAGCACTCAGAAGGCTGAGGCAGGAGGAGTGCTGTGAGTTCGAATTTGTTCATGGCCAGCCTGGGCTACAAAGTGGGTTCAAGGCCAGCCTGAACTACATAGTGAGACCCTGTCTCAAAAAGACAAAAAATAAACAAACAAACACTGAATAGAAATCAGCAGGCAAAGAAGTGGGAGAAGCGCATTCCTGGCAGGTGGGAAAGGCCTGAATATGAGAAAACAGCAACTACAACTAGTCCAGCAGGAAAACAGCGCAGTGTTCAGCGACAAGTGGTAGGAAATCGGACCAGAGAGGCTGGCGTAGCTGGACAATAAGGAGCCTGTGTGCCGGCTCAAGCACTTGGACTTTACCCTGTAGACAGCGGCGAGCTGCAAAAAGTCACAGCCTTGCCTCAGAAGTAGATTCCTCTGGTATGGAAGACAGATTTTAGTGGCAAAACTACAAAGCAGAGAAACGGCACCCAACACTGCCTGGCCACACAAAAAGGATTCTAAGATTGAGTTCAACCCAAGTTCTTAGGGCTGTCTGGTCCTGAGGAAGAAGCCATTGCCCCCACAGAATGAATGAGGGAGGCAATTCACTCAACTGTGTCTTCCTCCATAAACTGAGTTCCTTCCCCACATCAGACCATGAATGCTGGTACTCAATCAAAAGTTCTCTGAGTCAGGCATAGTGGCACACACCTGTAAGCCAGGAACTCTAGAAGGCTGAGGCAGGAGGATCGAAAGTTCCAGCCTAGCCTGGGCAAGACCCTGTCTCAAAACATAAAAAGGGCTGCGGATGCAGTGCAGTGTGAAGACCCTGGGTTCAATCCCTAATACTACAAAAATGAAAGTTTTGTGATTCTTATTTGCTTATAAACCCTGTGTGTAATACCCTCCCCAAGGCTTGCCCCCCACCCCAGTACACACCCATGACTCATTCCTCAAAATTTAGATCAACTTCAGCTGAATCCGTACACGGGCCAAAAGCTGTCTTCTCCAGGTGCTCACAACCCCCTGTGATGATCTCCAGGCTAAACCTGACACTGTATTAAAACCGACTATTAAGCATCCATCTCTCGCCTCCAAATGAACTGCTCCAAAGGATTATCCTCATTAGGCAGCCCAGGACCTGCACCTGTGTGCTCAGGCAGTGCTGCACTGACCAACAGGTTAAGGGGGCAGAACAATGGGCAGGATCGAGAGAGAGGGAAGGAAGAAGTCGGAGGTGATCACACCCCACCTCAGAAGTGACTCAGGCCCCTGGAGGGAACTAGGAAAGAGTAAGCTGGGCCGAGGAGATGAGGAAATGGGGAAGCAGCCTCCCCCGCCCCTTTCCTTCAGTGAAAACACAAGAGTGCCCGCTCTGTCACCAAGGGGGCCTTGACTTTGGGTCCTCCCCTCCAGCACCAGACCTGCCCGCGGTACCAGTGCATCGGACCACTACTGTGTCATGAAGCTGCCAGCCTCTCTCCTAGTCCCTGAGGAATCGAAGGTCTCTACCGGAACCCCTACCCAATCAACCTTCCAGAACTCTTGGTCTGTATCTGCAGCTTACTCTCAGGAGTTGGCATGACCTCAGTATCACCTCACTCCACTCTTCACGGAGGTGCTGGCGCAGGCCTGTAATCCCAGCACTCGGGAGGCTGAGGCAGGAGGATCCCTGCGAGTTCGAGACCAGCCTGGGCTACAAACTGAGCTCGAGGCCAGCCTGAACTGCATAGCAAGACCCTGTCTCAAAAAGACAAAACGAAACAAAACCTTCACGGAGCAAACAAATTAAGGCACGAAAATGGGGATGCCACTAGCTCAAGGACACACAGTGCACCAAAGACAAGGTCTTAGACTCAAACCCAGACGTCCTGATCCCTGGTCCAGAAGGCTCACTAAACGTTAAAGCCCCAGAACCCTCACGATGCTCTAGGCCGCAGCTCGCTCAAACCACCCCTGGACGCTCAGAGGTGCCGGCAGCCGGCAGGCCGGGTGCATCCCTTCCCCTCCCCCAAACTCCCTCCGCCCCAAGTGGGCCGCCAGGAGCCCCCGGGTACTCACAGGCTGCCCGAATACTGGCTGCCCCCAAGGAAGCCGTACTTGTCCGTCTTGCGCAGGGCCAGCCCGTTTATCTCTGAGTCCGAGCCCATGGAGCTCACATCATCCGCCAAGGACTCCAGGGTCCCAGACATGAGGCTCACTGAGTCCAAGTAGCTCAGCGTGTCCGGGGCCTGCCCTCGCGGCCCGGAGATGCCAGGTCCCAGGCTGGACGTGGAGCCCAGGTCTTGAGAGTTCTCGGCGGGCTCCGGGGCGGGGGTCACCGTCACGACGGCCACCGGAGCCTCGCACGACCCCGCGGGGCCCTCGGCGGCCTGTGCCGACGCCGCTGCGGCTGC